CATGATGAAAGAAGATTGTGAATGCATTTTTCAGGAACAGCCTGAAACAGCCCTGCAGCTTCCTGTGCTTTCAGGGAAGGAGCAGCTGGACATGGGAAAAAGAAGGAAATGCCAAGTGATCTTTGACAGCAGATCAGAGGCCTTTGGGCTGCTGTGTGAGCAAAGATCAGCTCAGCCAAATTGACTGTGCTGATCAGATGCTGTAATGAAATCCAAGTGGGGGAGCTGGAGAGGATGGCTGTGGGAGAGCTGAGGGATGAGTAAGGAACTGGCCAGCAACAAGTGATGTTGTCAGACAGGTGGGAAGGCTGGAGCAGGCTGCTGGGGCTCCTTGGGAGCAGCTCAGGGGGAGCTTCATAAAGCCAGGCCTGCACAAACAGGTGAATAAGCAGCTGTGGGACATCATCTCAGAGAGGGCCGAGGTGGTGGTGTGGCTCAGGAGGGCCTAAACACCCTTCATGTGTGGAAGTCAGAACCACAATGGGATATAATTGTCACAGACCTTACAGCTTGCTGTGGGCTCGGGGGAATTCACTGCTTGGGGCAGTTAACTGATAACACATCTGTTGTTGCCTTCCAGTGTGCTGCGAGTTTGCAGATGACCCAAGCAATGACAGACTCATTTCTAGTAGCCTCCTGAAGGAAGGTGCCAGTTGGCCCAGGTTATTCCCTGTGCTTGACAAAAGTCCTTGTCAAGGGAAAAGTGCAATTATGAATTGAAACAATTCTGCCTCTCCCCAGCTCTTCCTCTTACCAGTCTCTGCTAAGTGTTCTCTGCTTACTAACACCTAAGTAAATCTGCAGCTTGAACTCAGATCCTTTCCTGTAGCACATCCTTGAAGAATGATGGAAAGAACACCTGGATGGAGTGCAAAATGCCTCTTCAGAGTCCCCAGTGCTGCTCTGGCTGCAGAGTGCTGCAGCTTTATGAGCAACCTGCAACAACTGCTCAGTCCTGAGCTTGAAGGTGCTAGTTGTGCTCACAGGTCTCATCCCTGTGGCCTGGCCATCCATCAGCTGATGGTGTTAACCATGTGTGTCTGGTAACACCTGTGCACACAGGTCCTGGTCTCATCTTAGAATACCTGCTGAGCACAAAGGTATGACAGTTCTCCAGGCAAATGATCCCCAGTGAGGAGAGATGTGTCCTTGAGCTGGAAGGAAGTGCACAGGTCTCACCAAGGCTGGTATGAATGTGATATTTACAGTTATGTTACTCTGATAAAGAACGTTAGGGCAGTGTGCCTGGAACAGCCTTATCTCAGCATGTACAGATGTAGCTGATACTTGAAATAAAGCTTCAGTGAGATTTTTAAATACCTGTGCAGTGCTTGTTGATTAGAGGAGCAAATGTAGATGTACTGGTATCTCATTAAGGTCATCTTTAACTTCTGATTAAAAAAACCTCTAAGGGAGAAGCTGATATATGGAAAATGGGTGATGGTGACACTTGTCTGTAAAATTTCCAGTCCTGACTGTAATACAGGAATTAATTGTACAGGCTTTGAGAGGAGCATAGATCTGTGGCTGGTGGCTCCTAACTCCTGGGAAGTGCTGCCCCAGGGAAGGGAGCCAGAGCCTGCCCTGAGCTGGCAGCCTCTCCCAAAGAAGGATGGCAGGTAGGCTGAGCTCCCAGCCCAGACTGCTGCTTCCCATCCACACTGAATCCATGGCTGGTTGGCTTGGGTGTGAGTGTGATGTCAGCAGTGGCTGAGGCTGAGCTGTGCATGTTCATGTGCAGCTTTCTCAGTGCTGCAGCTCTGGCTCTCCCAGGGGGAAAGACCCAGCCTGATGTTGGGGTTGTTAGCATCACATGTCTGGAGCAGAGAGGGCTGGGAAGGGGAGGCAGAACTCCAGTTGCTGCAGCTGGGAGATGCTGTCAACACATCCTCACCCTTTGCATTGACATGTAGCTGATATTTTTATGTTTGCTAGATCCTGTTGTGCACTGTTCTTGTCTAGACTTCCTCCTTCTCTCTGCACTAACTGCTGAGGTGGTCACTTTTCTCAGGCTGAATTCTCACCAGGCCTTCTGTGTTTAGTTTGTTGCATTTATTTTCCCCCCTCAGCACAGTGTCCTTCTGGAATATCTCTTTTTATTCCAAGATCTGAGTGCAGTTTGAATTCCTGATAATCCTTATTGGAATTTGAGTGTTTAAACATTTATTTGGTTGTTTTAGCATTGCTTAGGTTTTTATTTTACTTTAAAAGAAGTCATCTGTTCTCCAGGAAAGATGCCTGACCTTTAGCAATGATTTGGAGTATTTCAGAATCTTTTCTGTAACATGACCCTTGGAATAAATGTAATGCCAGTACCCAAGTGCTGCTTTATTTTTCAGTTTAACTCCAGAAATTAATAATATCCATATTTCTGCAGCTTTCACTACGTGTGTGTGTGACACAGTGACTTGAAAGAAGGACTTAAGTCATCCTAGGAGTGAATTTCTCTATTGGCATCACATTAATCAGCTCTAATTTGTGGGGAGGGTGTGCTGGTCTGGCTGCACACAGTGTGTGGTGTCATCTCCTTTAGAATCATCAGGGTTGGAAGAGACCTCAAACATGGCCTGATACAGTGAGGGTGAAGTTCTAGCAATGAGATGTAGCTTGAATTTAGTCCTCCTTTGCCATCCATTTCTTTGCAGAAATTTGTTGCCAAGCACAGAATTTGGTTTTCTGTCACTTCGAAGTGGGAACTGATCTTGATGCATATGTTGGGAAGCAGTGACAGTTTCTTTTGTATTGAAATAGCACAGTGAGAGTTCTGTGCTTTGAGGGTGTAGTGAAAATGGACATGTCTTAGCAAGCCAAAACAGTCTGTCAGATAAACAGAGATGTATATTTAGCAGTCAGGGTCCAGCTAAGAGACTCAACCTTGGAGTCAGTTGGTGATACAGACACAGAGGTCCCACTTGGTCCACTCCCTGCTCCCCTCCCAGTGATGCTGTTCCATGCTTGGATAGCAGGATGCATTCCCCTCTCTCGTTAGCACAGCAGTGCAATATTGTAGAGTCATGTGCTCAGAAACATGAAACTTCCTGGTGTGTTGGAGTTCTTGACATTCCTGGGCAGGAGGAGAGGGACCCCAGGCTGCTCAGGGCACATCTCATAGCCACGTGGGTGGTCAGTTCCCTGGTGCAGTCATGGTGCTGGTGGGTTTTATCACTCCTGAAGTACTTGCATGTATAAATTAGCTTCTTCAGGCTTTTTTTTGTACTTCCTGACCTGATAATCCTTCAGTTTGTCCCTGCTGCTATCAAACAACTGAGCCATGAGCACATCCTCCTGGCTTTGTGCAGACAGCAAGTGGCAGGTGAAGTGCCCTGTAAGGATGTGTGCCCAGTTTGAATGTTGCTGTACTGGGATGTGCTGGGGAAGAGGAAGAACATAGGATGTGAGGATGCATGCAGAAAACATGAAGTACTGGATGTTTCCACGGTGACACTAATTTGGAACTCTGTTTGGAGCAGTTACTTGTCTTTATTTACTGATGGTGAAAATAATCAGTGCATGCATTGGAGATAATGGAACTCTGGAATCTTCCACTCCCAGGAAAAAGCAGTAAAGCTGCTGGATTGCTTGGGGAATTACTGTCCAAAGTTGTGACTTTATTGACTATCTTGGAATAGACTTGGTTTAGTGGAACACTGAGTGTGTATATATAGGACTTCATGTAGATGCTTTGCATACTGCTTGGGATAGAGGAACTGGAGAGTTTCCATGCTCTGAGCCAGGCCTGGAGGAAAGGCAAGGAGCAGATCAGTGCCTGGCACTCAGCAAACCCTTCTGAACTGCCTCCTGGAGCTGTTCGCCTGCAAGGTCTAGATAAGTGTGTTTGTCTGCAATCTCTGCAACGAGAGGCAGAGGCTGTTGGGAGTGCTGGGAACGAGGTTTGTTCACCTCTCTAACCACTGCAGTGCACTGGGAGGGATTGATTGTGGCTCAGGAAACTGCTTTTGAGAAAGTCACAGGCCTATAAGCTTTCCTGTGTTTTTATTTCTCTCCAGTATTGGTTTCATTTGTCATGTGAGTGACACATGACTGAAGGAAAATCTTTCTAGGCTACAGCAATATTCCTTGTAGCAAGTCCCATGTGTTTCTCCTGGCTGGCTCTCTGCCAGGCAGGAACAGGAGAGGAAATGCTGAATTCCTGCTAGAAATTTTCCACTTGCTTAACTGATCACACCAGATCCACTGTAACTTACAGCCCGGGACAGAAGCAGGCATTTCACATCCTTGAGGTCCCTGGGAATATCTGGCCTGAGTGTCATCTTGGTTAGCTTATGTGTAGTTTGGTAAATCAGCTTTTACTCCTTCAGATTTACACAGCTGAGGCCAGTGCTAATTCCTTTACATCTAGGAAAACATAGGAAAACTGGAATATTAGAAGCACTTACCCCAACCTAATTTTGCCTGTCGTGTAAAAAAGAGAAACTGCTCAGCCTTGCTGTAACTCTGCCATGCTGACAAAGCCACAGGGATGTTAACCAACTTCCTGAACATCTGATTTGTGGCTTGCACTGCTTCTCCAGCATGGCCAGGCAGCACTCCTGACCCATCAGGGCTACTACAGCCTCCTAAATCATTCTGAACTGTTTGCTGCAAGCTGCTCTGTGGACTGAGAGAGGCCACAGCTCCAATCTGCTGGTTTTGTTAAACCTCTCCAGATTTGTGTTGGAGTCAGGTTTGATTTTCAGTTCAGACCTCAGCTGGTTGGCAGGTGAGTGCTGCTCACAAGGAGGTGCTGAGCTTCATAACAGCGTGAAGTCTTTGTGGATCAAACTGAACAAGGATCAGTGCTGTGCAGAGCATGTGTGGGAGCTTTTCTGGATGTCTGTGGCCCTGGCCCAGTGCCTGTGGGGAGCTACAAGAGTCTGAACTGGGAATGAAAGGGGAGAGGAAGGGTGTGGGGTTTTGTGCTGATATGAACTAAACTGGCTGAATTGAGCTGTTTGGTGAACAAGTATCAGTTCTGACATGTTCTGTTTTTTTGTCTCAGTGCCACAATGGCAACTGCACCTTACAACTATTCCTACATCTTTAAATACATCATTATTGGTAAGTACCACTGGGATCATTCCTGTTCTGTCCATGTGTGGGTGTGTGGGGCCACAGTGCTTAGCTCTCTGCACAGCACTGGGAACAGAGGCCTAAAAACCTGTGCATGTGATCCCTTTCTCCCAAAGTCAAGTTTATATTTGAAAAATTGCTAAGTCTATTGGAAATGGAGAAAAAAAACTTTCATGGGAGTCAACACAACTGGAGTGTTGTGTTGATGGAGGTTTGCTCTAGCACTTTGCATCACTGATCTCCAAGAGTTTTAGAACCTATGTTGAAGCCACAGGAGCTAATTGGAAACCATTGCATTAGCTTCACAAACCTCTGCCAGGCTGTATTTTTGTGTTCAAATCTTGCTTTTAGCTGCAGCTTCCTTGACTGTTTAGAGTCAGGGACTTGATTACTTTTATTATTGTCCTGGAAGAACTGGTCTTGCTGTTAATTGTTTAACTGTTGATGACCTGTGTAGGTGTAAGTGATGTGCAGTGCCATTGTCCAGGTTTGTAAGTCAGGCTGCTGTGACAGCTCAGCCTCTGGGGCAGCTGGTTCTGCTCTGTCTCACTCCTGGCATTGTGCAAGTCAATCAGTGGAAGTGAAGCAACTTCTTGGGGTGTTTGGATGGTGTCAGTACTTTTGATGTTCTTACCAGTAATTGCAAGAGAGGAGCAAACACAGAGTGTATTTTGCATTTCAGTTCATTACAGTCTTATAAAATACATCTATAAAGTCAGTAATACAAATTAACTTCTGTTTTGAGTGTTCTGCTCCACTTTTGCTTGTTGGTTGCAACAATGACCTAACTGTTGTTTCTGTGCCAGGGGACATGGGTGTAGGAAAGTCCTGTTTGCTGCACCAATTCACAGAAAAGAAGTGTGAGTATTTCAGGTCACAGTGTTTGTTCTGGTGTGTTTCATCCCTCTCTCCTGCCTGTTTGCTTCCTTCCTGCATGAGCTCAACTTGGTGTCTGTCTTAATCTCTGAGTTTGGGGTGTTCTGGGTTGGATTTTTGGGTTGACTTGTGCAGATGTAGAAACAAAATGCTGGTGTGGCAGTGGCACAGCTGCTGCTCCAGCCAGTCCTGCCTGGGAGGAGTGGGCAGTTTGTACAGATCTTCCATGGAATTTTGGTGTGGAACAAAGTGAAATTTGTTGCCTGAAATTTGCATGTGTTCAATACTGGTGCAGTTTGATCCCAAGATGGAGTTTACAGTGCTGTGAAGGACCTCAAAAGGGGAAAAAAAAAAGGATTAATTTCTCTTTTGAGGCCTTGTTTGCACTGTCAGCACTGGAGCTGCTGCGAGTCGTGACACTTGGCCTGCCCTGACTGGTGGAGTTCAGGGCTGTTCAGTCTTAACATTTTATCATGTATGGTATCACCACTAACTGAGAACTAGCTTCAGTCCTAAGTGTTGCACTGGAGTTTGCAGCAGCTGTGAAGTCACTCAGTGAGTAAGTCTGTAGGTATTTATCAGTGCTGCTGGAGGTGAGGTAACAAGTGGGTGGGAGCTGCAGTTTGAACTATTTGTTGTCCAGTAGAAATAGGATTTTCTCACTGTTGCTTTTAACTAAAATTCAGTTTCAGTGAGTTATTTCAGTGCTGCTTTGCATGTGGTCACATTCTGGATGAGGATGTGTCTTGGTCTGTCAGCAGCAAAGCTGTCTGTATTTTCTTGATTTTTCTCTAAGCTTACTAAGTTGAGTTTATTATAACCACAAAGATTCTTTTTTGGGGTTTGATTTGCTTTGTTACTGTCTCCTTATGAAACTGGAGTTTTCCTGCAGTCAGTCATGTTATTGTCCTGTCTGAAACAACTTGGGTGTTTGTTTTTGAAGGTGTTACAGTCTTTTTAGCTGTAGCTTTCTTGGTAGTTCCATAAAAGTTATCTTTTCCTACTGCATTAAAGTAGTTAACCGTTTCTGCAAGGATAGACTGAGAATCAGCTGACTTGGTGATACCTTCTGATATGTGTGGCCAGAGAGCAGCAGAGATGGCAAGGAACTTTAGAACTGTTCTTCACACTAACAGCAGCTCAGGAAGTGCATTGTTTTATTTCTGGTTGAGTGAAACAGCTTGGGAACTGCAGCTGTAAAAATGCTTTCTTAGAGCCTGCAAACCTTGTACTGGTGAGATCTGATCTTTGCTCTTGTTTCTCATGACAGTTATGGCAGACTGTCCCCACACAATTGGTGTTGAATTTGGCACAAGAATAATTGAAGTTAGTGGCCAAAAAATTAAACTACAGATTTGGGATACAGCAGGACAAGAGAGATTCAGGGCTGTCACACGAAGCTACTACAGAGGAGCAGCAGGAGCTCTCATGGTCTACGACATTACCAGGTAAGGCACATCTTGCAGTGGAGCTCTGGGGGTGCTTGTTGAGCTCTTGGTGTGTATTGACTCAGGGCTCTGAGTGTGTCTGGATCTGTATCCTGTTGTTTGACACTCACCACACTTTATCTAAACATGCAAAGAGCTGGAAATGAGACAAAGGGAGTGATGGGAGCTGCTTTTCTTGGGAAACTGTCACTGACAGGCTGAGGATCCCACAGGCCATGACTGCCCGTGGTGAAGCTGTTTTAAAGAACTGGCTTTGTCCTTAAGATCTGCACTTCAGCCCATGGATTTGCCTCCTCTGGGAGGCTCTGGGCTCCTCTGCTCACCTGGCAGATGTGTCCTTAGCACGGGCCCAGCACAGCACAGTGTGCTGCAGTGAGCTGTGGGCACTTGTGTAACAGACTGCAGGGCACAGCCTGGCAGCTCTGCCCCCAGGGGCACAACCTTTCCTGCTCCTCCCACCACCTGAGGCCACACTGAGCCTTCCTGTCCTCCTTCCCTGCGAGAAAACTAAAGATGCTGCTAAAAGAGTAATTAATCCCATGCAACATGAAATTCTTTTGCTGTAACACATCTCCATCTTCCTCTGGGGCTGTTCTTCAAGCACCTCTGTGTTTTTTCCTGCATATGTAGGTTTGTTTCCTGTTTGTGTAAATCTTGAGTAAAACATGATGTGCAGTGTTTGTTTCCAATTTGCTGTGCTGCACAGTGTTCTGTGAGGACACCTGACAGGAAACCCTGAAATGTGTCTGTGCAAACAGTGACACTGCTGTGTGCTGGAGGTGTGAATTGCTCTGGTTGTTAGAGCTGCTTGGGGGGTTAAATTGGACTTGGAGTGACAGTCTGAGCCCAAAGTGCTGCTATGTCTGTGGAGGTGAGGACAGAGCTGATGGATGCTGTGTGTGACATGCTGACTGTGCTGCTGGCACTTCAATATTTTATGGAACGCTCAGGCTAAAAGTGTCCTCACTTGATTCTTTGCAGAAGAAGTACATATAATCACCTAAGCAGCTGGCTGACAGATGCAAGGAACCTCACCAATCCAAATACTGTAAGTGGCACTTCATTGGGCCTGGAAGCTTCTCTCTGAGTAGAGGTGGGAGGCTTGGGCTGAAGCACCTGCAGTGCAGAGCTCTCCTGAGAGAGCACAGCTTCTACACATTGCCTTTGGTTTTCAGCCTCAGTCATACTGAGGGTGGCAGAGAAAAGGCTAATGAGCTTCTTCCCAGACTAACTTTCTCTCTCCTGAACCAGGTGATAATCCTCATAGGAAACAAAGCAGACCTGGAAGCACAGAGGGATGTTACATATGAAGAAGCCAAACAATTTGCTGAAGAAAATGGTGTGTGTTTTCTCTTGAGTTGGTACATTGCCTACACG